CACACACACACACACACACACACACACACACACACACACACACACACCCATACACAACACACATAGTTGGGTATAGAACCCTATCTAACTCAGCAGGGGAGTAGGAGGGGAAAGAGATAAGAGAAAGGAGGGGAAGGTGATAAAAAGGAGGAAAGATTGCAGTGGTCAGAAGCAAAACAGACTTTTGAGGAGGGACAAGGTAAAGAGTGAGAGAGAGAGAGGATAAACAAACGAAAACAGAATGGAGGGAAAGGCATAGTTAGTAATCATAATTGTGAATGTGAATGGGATGAACTCACCTGTAAAACAGAAACAGGCAAGAGAACAGATTAGAAACCTGAATCCAACAATACATTGTTTAGAAGACACACACTTGAAACAGAAAAGACACACATAGTTAAAATAAGGAGCTGCAGTAGAATTACTATGCCTCAGCTAAAGTAAAAAAGGCAGGGGTAGCAATCATGATTTCAGACAAAGGAAAAGCAAAAACAACCCTAATTAAGAGAGATAATCAAGAAAACTATATTTTGATAAAAGAAAGACAATGAAGTAATAATATCAAAAAATTTTACAATAAATTTCTCAGCTAAATGTCTCATTTTTCAAATATATATATGGAACTAAGTCAAATTTATAAACATAGGAGCCATTCCCCAATTGATAAATAGTCAAGTGACATGAACAGGCAATTTTCAGAAGAAATCAAACCTATCCAAAGAGTTTTATGAAAAAATGCTCTAAATCACTTTCGGTTAGAGAAATGCAAATTAAAACCGCTCTGAGGTACCACCACCTCATACCTATCAGAAATAACAAATGCTGGAGAGTATGAGGGAAAATAATTGAAAAAAAAAAGGAAAAAATAATTAGTGCTAGTGGAGTTGTGAACTGGTCCAACCATTCTGGAGAAAAATTTGGAACTATGCCCAAAGGGTTATAAAACTGTGCATATCATTTGACCCAGGAATACCTCTACTAAGTTTATATTCTAAAGAGACCAAAGACAAAGGAAAAAGACTTATTTGTACAAAAATAATTGTAGCAGGTTTTTTTTGTGGTGACAAAGAATTTGGAATTGTGGGGATGTCCATCAATTGGGGAACAGCTGACCAAGCTGTGGCATATCTTTGGGATGGAACACTTCTGTGCTATAAGAAATGACAAGCAAGATGGTTTCAGAAAAACCTGGGAAGACATATATGAACTTATGCAAAGTGAAATGAATAGAAACAGATCACTGTGCACAATTAGCAATACTATAATGATGATCAACTGTTAAAGACTTAGTTACTCTGATCAATACAACGATTCAAGACAACTCAGAAGGACTGAGAACTGTTATCTATCTCCAGAGAGAGAACTTATGAACCGTGTGCAAACTGAAGTATAATTTTCCCAATTTATTTTTCTTGCTTTTTTTTTGTAACATGGCTAATATGGACATATGTTTTCATGATTTCACATGTATAATAGGTATCATATTGCTTGCTTTCTGAGTGGGTGGGGGAGGGACTGGACAGGGAGAGAATCTGAAACTCAATTTTTAAAGAAATGTTAAAAATAAATAACTTTAAAAAAATAAATATAGTAAGTTTTTTTTAAAGACTAGAAAGATGGGAGTGGGGTGGGATTAGGTTGTGAAATGCTCTGCATGCCAAAAGGATTTTGTATTTGATCCTGGAGTTGATAGGGAGCTACTGGAGTTTACTGAATATGTTGACATAATCAGATCTGCACTTTAGAAAAATCACTTGGGTGGCTGAATGGAGTAGAAACTGAAATGAGGAGAGACTTAAAGCAGACTATTGTAGCAGTCCAGCAGTTAGATGATAAGAGTCTGTACCATTAACAAACTAATGTCAACTATGAGAGGGTTGTCTCTCTAATCAAGTATTCTTAGCCTTACATCATTCAACATTTTTATGATATAATGCTCCATTCGTTATCCTTCTATCTCAGAGAAAGCACATGTAAGAGAAGAATGGAATAGCCTCTTGTATAAACTAGTTGCTAGACTCTTGCTACCCCAGCCACTTTCTTTCTACCTAACTAGACTAGAATGGCTAAAAAATAAAAAATTACAAAGCAGAAAGTGTGGCCTAAGAGATTTTGCTGGCTTCCTTGGCTTTGGCTCATAATCTGCCTCTGATACTTTGTGACCATGAGTGAATCACTTAACTTACCTTCTATAGTGGGAGACAGACACGTATAGGCACACACAAAACAGACAAAGGTATTTTTGGGCAGGGAAGGCACTAGAAGCTGGGGAGTTCAGGAAAGGAACCCTGTGGCACTTGAGCTGAGTTTTAAAGGAAACTAAGGATAAGAGGAAGGAAGGAAGGAAGGCATGCATTCCAGGCGCAAAGGTAGCCAATGTAAAAGCACTTATATGGGAGTAAGAGGTAGGTCAGTTTGGATGGATGTTAGAGTACATGAAGATTAATGGGTATGAACTGAGGCCAGATGGGGAAGGGCTTTGAGTGTCTACATGTGACATGTGATGCTAGAAGTGATAAGGAGCCACTGGAGTTTACTAAGCAAGAAAGTGACACAGTCAACAGAATCAAAACTGCTTCAAACACCCTAACCTTCAAGGTCCTCAACTTACTCATTTTCCATGACCTACTTATCCACTCCATCTCAGCCCCACAAAGACATGGTCATACCTTTGATCTTGCCATCACCTACAAATTCACCACTTTCATGTTCATTGATTCTCAAATTCCTTTATCTGATTATAATTTGTAGTTATTTTACCTCTTCCTCTGCCTTGCAAACCCAAACCCTATTCTTCAACCTCACTGTGAACTCCAATTCCCTCAAAACCTTTGTTCTTTCCCAGGCCATCATCTCTTCATGGACTACACTCTCCTCCCTTCCCTATCTTGACCCCCTTGGTGAGCCAGTTCAACTTTCCTGTCCCTTGCCCCCTTATCTTTTGCCCTGCCAAGCTTCAGCCTGGATTACTGAAAACATCCACTACCCTTCCTCCTACACACATACTGCTGAACCAAGCTGGAAAAAATTATGAAACTGTACTAACTGAATTTTCTACACAGAGATGAAGTTCTCAATACCAAATGTAAAAAAAAAAATGCTGACATTAAAGAATTCTCATTAAAATATGTTTAACCAGTTGATTTCAGAATTCCTATTTAAATTACTCACCTGTTAGAAACACTTAATTATAAGTGTAAACAGATGTGGTCCTTTATATTCGCTACAACTAAAATGATTTCATTTTTAAAATACCTCTTTCCTTGTTTACTTTGTTCAATCAAATCCAATTTCAACTCTGAACATTTTTCTTTCAACTTCTGTAAACTTTGTTCCTTTTCAATCACAGTTTTCTGGCTCTGTTCTAATTTATCTTCTGCTTCCCTATGAAAAGAAGTGAGGTTTTAAGATAATAAGCAAAAGATGAGTTATTTTAGAATTCTGGTATTTTGTATACTTTAACTTAAATAGGGAATTAGGATTGTCTTTAAAAACACTGCAAAGAGAAAAATCTGAATCTGATATCTTTCGAATTAACTTATTCTCTTACTGACTGCTCAATGAGTCAGCATATATCCCTCAAGTTTCAAAATTCAACCCATTAATAAACATTTTAAATGGAAAGCAACATGGTAATGATTAAACTAATGGTTCCCTGAAACTTTAATAACTCCCACGATAGCAATTATTAGTATGCAGCAGTGATTAAGAAAAGACATGACAAAAGCTACCACGAATTTTATTAAGTTTATATTTTATTAAATACAAAATAATCCATATATATTTTGAAAATAGTAATATATTTATATTTTTGTGATTTCATCAGTAATACTTATATTCAGATGCAGACATTTATGGGTTGCTGTGTTTGGGTTTCACAGATATATTTAAACTTCACAAGTCTGACATCTAGCACAGAAAGCAAGGTTCAGAAAATATTTTCATAAGCTTAATATGTATTTAATTCAAGGCAAAACAAATTATTTTGAGGTAGCTAGATAGTGCAGTGGATAGAGCACTGAAGACCTCAGGAAAACCTGAGTTCAAATCCAACCTCAGGCACTTACTGTATGACCTGGGTAAGTCATTTATCCTAACTGCCTCAGTTTTCTCACCCATATAGTGGGGATAATAATAATAGCACATATGGCCCAAGGTTGTTGTGAGGATAAAATGAGATCTTTGTAAGGTGTTTTTCAAACAGTAAAGCACTATATAAATGCTAGCTATTAACGCCAAATGAGTATAAGGTACTCAGCATCACAAACTCACTATCTGCTACTAAATATCAGCCACAATGATATTTTTCTAAAGGCTCAAGAATTTGCTTCCCAGTCTTTCCTGCTACGGTCATTAGCCAGATTTTGGTGTTTACTCATATGACAAAAGTTAGGAAATAGGTTACCATGTGAACCAGAATGGTGTTCTGGGGGCTGGTAAGTAAAGAAAACGACAGCAGGAGAAAATACCACCTATCCAGCTCAGCTTCATTCACAGCCATGTCCTCTACCACCTGGCCCCTATTCTCAACACAGCTCCTGGAATAGTAACATAAAAACACCCTACCCAGAGGGCCCTTTATCCAAAGCTTTATACCTCCTTCTTCTCAAGGCAAATAACTGCCCTCCCCCACTAAAGAGAGAAGGCAAGTTGCCTGAGGTCAAAGTACCTACATTGTTCGTCCTTGTACCCCAGTGGGGGCCAGTAGGGTTTGAGGTATTTAGTAGGGGCTCAATGAATATCTGCTGACTGAATAAAGGAATGAAAGCTGCAAACATACAGTGGAAATCGTTTATTTAGTAGTAATGTTTGAATAAAGTGAAGAAAGGCAATTATATATTTTTTTACAGTGGAAAGAACAAAGTCCATCTCTGCCACCAACTAGTAACCTTTGCAACTTTGGGCAAGTCCCTCAGCCTCTCTGAGCCCCTGTCTCGTCTTCCATAAAATCAGGGGCATCTTCCCTTCCACCTCTAAATCTATAATCTTGGGATTTTAAGCGCTTGTTTTCAACCTACCCATGAAGGATTGACTGCATTGTTTTAAAATGGATAAGAAAATTAACTAGTTGAAACTTTAGTCAGAATTTATAAACTATACAACAGGTTTAGTCTTTTTTTAGCTCAATTACTGCATTTTGTCATGTGGACTAACAACAGTATTCAATTAACTTTTGTGGAAGGGATTAACTCTTTGCCATTAATTTTAATTATACCTGGAGCACAAGACTTGTTTTCAACTACTGCTAATTATATCTCCTCTGCCTACTTACTCTGCATTGAACCTACAGCCTTATCCTAGGCTACAAGTAAAGAGAAAATCTTTTTGCCAAATGAAATGTCTACTTCCTCAGTTGAAAACACATTTTTCATCAAAGATTGGAAAATACTTATTTAAATACCTTTCCACAATCCCCACACAAGTCAAAACCACAATGACAGTAAACTTAAGACAATAAAATCTCTTCAGAATGATAATTGCTTTGCTTCCAAAAGGTGGCGCTTTCCATCACAGGTGTATAACTGGAAGTTAGGAGGTGAACAACTGGGGCAATTGTTCAACTGCCTCTCTAAGCTGTCACATACACATTCATTATTGTATATGAAAATGTCAAAAATTTCCAGACTCTCTGGCACAAAAGTATATGCTACAGATTTTTTTCTTTTTTTGGGTTAGGCAATGGGGTTAAGTGACTTGCCCAGGGTCACACAGCTAGTGTTATGTGGCTAAGGCTGGATTTGAACTCAGGTCCTCCTGAATCCAAGACTGGAGCTCTATCCACTGAGCCACTTAGCTGCCCCTTATGCTACAAATTTTTTTAAAAAAATCTGGGGGATTCACACATGTGGCTCATGATGAGGTGTTTTTTTTTTAAATATTAGCATATTTAGTAAATGTTTACTGAACTTTATGCATATAGGTTTTTCTGATCCCTACAACTCATAGATCACCTTGATGGAATCTAGCCACTGCCCCCAATCCCAATATCTCAACTTCCTCATATGCCTCACTAGAACAGCAGGTGTATCAACCACATCCATCAAGTCTCAAAGAGGACCACAACAGTCAGCCATCCACCTTGCCCCAGACAGACCACAATAACCAGCCAATCAGAAAGCAGCACCAACAGGACCTAAAGTAGGATATCTGACCACTAAATCACAGCCTAAGTGGATGTCTATGTAGTAATAGCAAACAACAGTCCTAAGGTGAACTTATGATGTAGAGAGGCTTATTATAACATCATTATCATACAATAATGCCCTCTCAATGGGTTTTTCTGTATCCAATCTGGGTAACCGCATGCACAGTTCCAACAAGGTTAGGGCCACTCCCATAGCAATAAACCCCGCCTATATTTTAATATTCATATATTCTATAATGACATAATTGCATCTTTTGCTCTATAAAAATCCCTGTCTTGCTTTGGATAAGCTGCTGGTTCCTTCTTGGAGCATAGCCCACTTTCTAAGAGGTGTAATTCTCAATAAATGCCTTTGTTTGGGTTGGTGGTCTGAGTCTGTGAATTCTTTTGAGATGTCTCCACAACACACCTTGAACTTCAACAACCTCACCCAGATGCTTCCCAGCTTCTTCAAACTCCATTAATCTGATCACATCTTCTTCCCTTTTAGTCTCTGGTTTCTCTCTTTTAGAGAATTAAGTAAGATTAAGGAAAGATGAGGAGAGTAAGAAGTCTCAAAACATCCCATTTGTGGTTTGCTTGGTGTTTTGCCAGTGAAGATAAGTATTCTCTATTATATGATGGTACAAAATGTGGCAAAAATAAGGTACAGAATTTAATATATACCATATCTCTCTAATTATTAGAAATGTGTATATTTTAATGAAGTGGCACAAGGTACAAATATATCATCACACTTAAAAAAATGCATTATAATAGAAAGGAAGGCTCTGAAGATTAGATTCAGTGAACACTGGGCACTGTTTCTAAAAATACTGAAAGCTACTGACCATTGAGAATGTGCTGGAAAAAACAAAATTTAGTAAGGCCATACATTTAAGAAAGATAATGATGTAGAACGTTTCTTATTTTCTACCTCAAAACTTTATCTTGGGCTGAAACTTCTGCTTCCAAATTTGTAATCTGTTCTTCTAAAACTGGGACGCTAAAGGACTGTGATTGAGTACTTTCAAGAACACAGATCTGAAATTAAAAAAAAAAAAACATATTTAGTCTCTCTGAGCCTTAGTTTCCTTATCTGCAAAATGAGACTGAGCTAGATCAGAGCTCCACAGCCCCTCCCTCCACAAACACCTTGATGATCACTCATAAAATGGATAAATGTAGTAAGTTTTAGAGTAACCACCAATCTCTTTCCTTTAAAGACCTAAGTATCAAAAGAAACAACCCTGTTCCCCTTCTCTTCCTTCATTGACCTGAAGGTCATATTTACTTACCTTATTTACTTATTTAACAATTCAAGTATCTCCAATTATCTGGGCAGAGATTGTGTGGGGTGGGAGTACACAAAAAGGAAAGGGAATCAATTTTCCATTTCCCCAGAGTATATGATGCCAACCCCTTGTCCTACTCTAAAAAGTTCTAATTGGTGTAATACAATTGCCATAAATAAAATTCATCAAGGAGCAAGCAATACTAAATCAAATACAAGAATAATGTTTTCCTTTAATCAGGAAATGTAAAAAAAGAGTAGTTAATTACCTTTTGCCCTAAACACAAGGATTTACCATTTTAAGATACATACTTTTGTTCTTGATTGTGTCAATTCAAAATGGAGAGATTCTATTTTATTCATTAGCATATGATTCTGAGAGATCAAAGAAGCATTATGTTGCCGAAGTTTATTCAGTTTCTCCCGAAGGCCTTTATTTTCCTGATCCACACTTGTGTTAGTGATAGAAGACACAACATAAGACTAAAGCAAGAAAGAAAGTCATCTATTTTGGATCATCTTACTTCAAAAATCAAAGTCATTATACATTATAAATGAGAAATAAAGATTAACAACAGTTTTGTCAGTCAATGAGTGCTAACTATTTATTTACAAATAGGTCCAAAAATGAAGAGTCAGTCTAGGTACACTATTTTCAAATTACATTAATTAATAAATATGAACTAGATAAAGTATTTAACTAGGAGAATATGGTCTCCTGAATCCCACAGAATAGAAGAAAGAGTACTAGATATGGCTATTGGTACTGCTCACTACCTGTGTGTAACCTTGGCTAAATTGTTTAACCTCTTTGTGCCTTAGTTTCCTTATATGTAAATTAAGTGCCTTAGACTAGATTTCATCTCTGATGTGACTTCCAGTCTTAAATCCTGTGATCCTTCATAGCATTTGTAGGAATTTAGGTTGTAAACAAAAGTTACTTCTATCATCTGGCTTGAATCAATTCATTAAACTAGCCATGCATATTCCTTAAAAAACAAAATTGTCCACTAGTGTTCTCAGAATTGGAAAAATTGTGAAGGAATAGTAGGTAATACTGAGCACTAAATGTCTAGTAATTTCTGAATCCTAAAGGTAACAAGTGTAGTAATAATAGGGTTTGCTATTAAGAAACAATTACTCCTGGTAACTGCCACCATAATCAAACAATAAAACCAAGTTCTAAGCACCCTAGCTAGCATCACAGGTGGAGGTGGGGATGGGTTGGAAAACAAAGAAACAGATGGCAAGGCCCTTGCCCTCATGCAGCTAAAATTTAGTTGTGCAAATAAACTATGTACATACAAGAGAACATGACTAACAATACACAAAAGTTTGAAAATATCACTGCACTAAAACAGATACTTTTTAGGCAGCAAATATGAACAAGCATTGTAGTGTCTTTGTGCCCAAAACTATACCAGAGTTCTGAGAAATACAACACATAGTGACAGTCTCTATAAAAACCATAACACATTCAGAGAAGAAATATTTTACTCAAATAATGCTAAAAATAATAATAACCTTGTCTCTTGATTTTCTTTGGAGATCACTATTGCTGTAAGGCATTTTACCAACGTTTTTATGAGTAGAATAATTTACAAATCCAGGGTGGAAAGACTGAACAAGATCATCCACTGAGAGTTTCTCAAACCTTGTTGGATGGATGCTGTTCTCAGAACTGTCGCCTGGACTACTACTAGGAAAAAAAAGAAAAAATTCTTCTAGTCCTTAAATAAATACATGAAAAAAGCTCTTAAGTTCACAGAAATGAAAATAGAAAACAAAAGGAAATATTGGATTCACATATTTGAAGTTATTGGTTCTTCTATTTATTTAAATTTTATGTCTTTAAAAATTAAAATTTGTTTTGAAATTGTAAACCCCAGATATTTTCCAGAGTGTATGTTTCAGATTGCTTAGGATCGAAATAACAGTAATAATAAGCCTGCTGAAATATAGTGTAGCATAACAGCTAGAATACGACACTTGTGTCCAAGCTCTCTGTGTGACCATGGGCAAGTTACTCAACCTAAGCTGAGTTACAGAACAGCTGAGATTTGCCTCCTAGAGTATTAAAATAAACACCTGCTTTAGTCTTTGTACACAAATTTTAGATCACAATTCAAAAAAAATTTTAACATTTATCAAGCACGAATTCTGTCAAAGCATTCTTCTAGATAATTGAGAGGCACACACAAAAGTGAAAGTCATTGCCCTCCCTGCAAGGAGCTTACCCCATAAAGAGATGGGAGATTGATGTGCTCTAGGAAAGTATAAACAGACAACACTTTGAGCTTCAGGAATCCAGGGAAAGGTACAAAGGAGGTGGTGCCTAATGTTAAAAGGATTCTAAAAGACAGAGATGAGAAAATACTGTGGCCATGCGGACAAGAGACAGACTGATTTGTTAAGGGAACACCTAACAGTTCAAGTTTGTATGAAACACAAAATATTTTAAGAGAAATAATGTGAAAATAATTTGGAAAAATAAAATACGGTCAGACTATAGGTGGTTTAAATGCCAGGTTACAAAATTTACATTATACAAAGAAAGTCTGACTGAAGGGATTTTTTTTGTTTGTTTGTTTAAGCAGAGGAATGCCATGGTCATACTTTTCTTAGGAAGATTATTAAGCAGTTATGTGTAGGATGGATTAGAGAGGAGAAAATCTGGAGGAAGAAAGAAGACCAATTAGGAGGTTATTAAAATAGTTCAAGGGAGATATGATGAGGGCCCCACATGTCCAGATCTTAGTTTTCTCATCTATAAGGAAAAATATGATCTCTAAATCTAAAATTATTTGATTCCATGCTACAATTTTCTCTTAATATGAATGCTTTTCAAATATTTCTATTTTTTATTGTGGGTTAACTGTTTTTTCCTAAGTTGGGAAGGAAAAAAAACATTCAAATTTTTAATTTTCCTGGTATGACAATAAATTTAGGCATAACATACATAATTCTAGAAATTATCTATCATTTACCTATTAGAAAGCTCTTCTCCTAAATTCTGTAAACTCCATTCTGTTTTCTCCAATTCATTTCTTAATGAAGCAACATTTGCTAACAGATCTTCATTATCTTTCTGGTAGTATTCCAGTGAAACGGGTTCCACTTGGCTGGGGGGAAAAAAGTCACATTCTTCTATTAGCTTTCTTGATAAGTCACTTTAACCTCTCTGGACTTTAGTTCCTCACCTGTAAAATGAAAGGGTTGGACTAAATTACCTCTAAAGTCCCTTCCACTTCTAAGCCTATATTATCCTCTAATTACATGCAATTTTGTATGAATAAAAAATGCTAGTGTTCAACATGAGCAATTCTTTGATCTGGTAACTTCCAGATTAAACTGAGACTAGTCTAACCTATTTTTTAACTTCAGCTACTCTAAAATCTTTCATAATATAGTGCACTTTCTATATTACTTAAAAGCTTCAAGTCAATGAAAAATCTGAATGACATAATCATGCTGATAAACTAATTTATTATCTAATCCAAGTTCTTATTTGTCTTTAACTGTTTGGTTTTATACTTATCTATATTTGTGCTTTATAGATACCATTTTCAACAGTAGTTTCCTGAATTTTTTTTTCAAAATTAGTTCAAATATTCCCCTATATAGAAAACTTGATCTTTATCACATATATTTATAGAGAAAAAGGAATTGAGGAAGTTTGTGTAATAAAATGTCATGACAAAGATATACAAAATGAAGCCTCATCACATTGTTACCATCACTGCCAAAACCATTCAGGTCAATACTGTTTTTACTTTTGGAAGTTCTATCCAAATTAGAAAAGGTTAATCTTTGATAAGCACCTCTATAATGAATATTGCATCTTTGAGAGCACTAAAACTTTCCCCAACTGAATTCATCTTCCACAAAATACCATTTTCTGCATAATAATAGTTGAGTGATAAAGAAGTTGTATTAATTTAGGACTGTGATTCTTTTCTTTTACAGCTTCCTTCCTAATATTGAAATTAAATTGCTCATTCACCCACTTAAACAATCTCTTAACACTCTTATCAGCATGTCAGGGACTTATTATGGCACCCCTTCCCCTAATTCCCTCCAAAAAACATGGAGACAATATACCTACTGAAAAAGTGAGGGAACAAATAGTTTACAAGCCTAATAACTAGTAACTAATGCCAAATCATTTTCATTGGAAATTTTCAGAGTAACTTCACAAACACCAAAAAAATACACTCTGGCAGTGAGTAAGTTGACATTGTTTTTTCTTAATACATGAAATAACTGGACTCTTTTCAATTCTCAAAATTTGTTTTTGGCTTTAATGAACTTTTCCAGAGAAAATGAGTTGCCCAAAGGTCCCTTGCCCACGCTGCCTTACCTTTAATTTTAACATGGTCCCTAGTTCCCTGTGAAGAAAAAAGGAAATACAGGAAAACGTTGGATAAAGTTAAAGATAGGGAAGACCACTGGAATCCAACACTAAAACAGAAGTTGGTAGCTACTTTACTATATTTTAACATACACATATATTTAATGTAAAACTCTTTGGTTCTCCTAATTATTAACTAATAAATTTGAAGCCTATTGGCATATGTCCACACGTGAAACTATGCATAATGTACATATGTGTGTATGTATATATATGCACACAGAGATTCTTGGTGGATCATTTTCAGGTGGATAGGTTACTTTTTTCCCCTCACAACTATTATAGGGTCAATTCCTAAATTGGCTTCCTATACAATTACATACAAAGGTGACAATGACTCCTAAGGAATCAGTATTTCCCTCCCACTCTTCTACGTCATTTCAAAGTCCAAGAACAATGAATTTATTCAAGATGACGGCAGTCTCCCCCTACCCACATCCACCCGTGACTGTGGCCCTTCCCAGCCTCAATAACATTCGTCTCTCTCTCTACCCAATCCCGGCAGAACTTGGTATAATCGATTGACAATGGTAACTAAGACGATTTTTTCCCCTTCCCTCTTCCAAACAAAACTCTTCAGGCTCTACTCTTTCCGAGGAGGGCAGAATCCACCACAGACACACACCTTAAAGAGGCTCTCGGATGGAAACTGCTGAGAGCTGGGGAGGAAGAAGATGGGAAATTCTCCTTCAGCTCCCAACTAAGATCTGAACCAGACCCAAAGACGTGCCTCGAGGAAGCAAAGGTGGTAGTAATCTGGCTTCTCCCTTTTCGAGGGGAAAGAGAGCCAATCCTATCGCGATCCGACCACCCCAGCGCGGCGAGGGAGCGATGGGAGCCGGAGTTCATGGTTTCCCTCTGGCTGACAACGGCGCTCTCGTCAGGCCCGGCTCCAGGTTCAGTCTCTCCTGGACCAGCGCTAATCGCCCCCCACCGGGGCGGTATTTGATGACGGAACCTAGCCCCGTAGCAGCGAACACCTCTGTTTCTCCCCTGCCCTCAGTCGCTGCGGCCTCTCTATTAGGCCCGCTTGGGAAAGGTCCGAGCTACCGCACCAAAGCTCCCCTTCGCACGCCTCCCTCTCCACCTCTGATTTGTAACAGCCGCGAGAACCGTTAAAAACACCCCCCTTCCCGACTCTCCTATTCCGCGCAAGCGCAAGAAGCATCCGGGATGCTGCTGGAGCGGACAAGGCCTTTCGGGGACTGTAGTCCACGGAGCTCGTCCAAGTTGCGCCCTTCGGCGGCCCTAGGAACTACATTTCCCACAATTCTCCCACGAGGACAACGGCGGAAGGGGGAAACCTGAAAGGTCCCTTCATTGGGGCGTAACTTACCCAAAGTCCTCGCCCCGAGTGCGTTCTCACACTTACTCACCAGGAGGCTTGGGCTGTAGACGGTTGCGGAGGCGGCGGAGGCGGCGGCGTGGAGGTCTCGGGCGCCGGGTAGAGAGCGGCCGTGGCTCCAACTTGTGTTCCGCTCCCATGACCGGACGAGAAGTGGTCCTTGGTGACAAGAGCTGCTAGGTCTAGGGCTGAGACTGTGAGTGGGGCCGGCGGGGGCGGCCGAGCGGTATCGGGAGGCGACCTGTGGACTATCGCCCGAGACACCAAGCCGACCCTGTTGGATCGCGTCCAGTGAAGAGAGGACGCCTCGTACCGCCTCAGGAAGCCGGAAGGTACCGCGTCTGTCCAGCTGCAAACCTCGGTCAAGATGGACGAGCCCGGGGTCTGGATCCCCTTCTCTCTGCTCTTGGCCGCGGGCCCACTGGCGCTGCTGCCGCCTGCGGTGTCGGGCTTCTCGCCTTCGCTGGACAGCGACTTCACCATCACCCTTCCGGCTGGCCTCAAGGAGTGCTTCTATCAGCCCATGCCCCTCAAGGCCACGCTGGAGATCGAGTACCAGGTAAGCGGGGGCGGACCGCCCGCCGCCGGATGACCCCCCCCACTCCCACCCCCCGCACCTCTGGGACGGCCTGGGACGGACGCACCTCTCTCTGCACTGATGGGGTCAGCGGACTACATTCTGGGAGGCGAGGGGCCTCCCCTAAATGCAGCCGCCACCTCCCGGGGGTGCGACGCGGGGGCCTGTCGCCGCGTCATCTGGCAGGCGGGGAAGCCAAGCGGGCGTGACCCGGACTAGACCATCCGCCTTTGCCCCAGTGGGAACCGGGCTGGAATTGGTGATGTTCATGACTTTCCCCTTTGTTTCATAACATGCCCGTAGCTTTTCCTGCCAGCACTTGCATGCATGTGTGCTAGGGCTATGGTTGAAAGTTGCAGGACGGTGAGACACGTTGTCGTTGGGTTATTGGACGAAGGGGTTAACATTCCCCTAAATTTCTCCCGCTCTCTTCTTCCCCGAAGTCTTTTGCTTCAGTAAAGCATTCTTCCCTTGTGACCATATGGTGGTTATCCCTGCCTTAAAGTTGGATGCTTTGGGAAGTTGTCCATTTTTTGCCCTAGCAACTGCAGTAGATTTTAGTTAATGGAGTGAGCCCCTCCTTCCCTCCCTCGTTTCCGTGTTACCTGTTTTCAGAGTGTCAACTTCCACTTGAGTTTTGTTCACTGCAGCAAAATAGAGGAAAGGGAGGAGCAAATCTCGGGCCTTTATAAGAAATTAAGAATTTAATTTAAAAAATTAAGAATTTTAAAAGAAATTTGTAAATTCTTACAAATGTCATGCCTTTGTGCTTTAATTTAGCTTCTGTGGATGTTTGTCTTTGGCTTTCTCCCTTCCCCCTCCACCCTTTCTTTGGCCTTTTCTCCAGAGACTGATTAGAATTTTATTTAGAACATACTGGAGGAGAAAATAATATCATCGTCTAGTTTTGGGGGCAGCAACTGAAAACGAATATACTTTTCTGTTTTGCTTTTCTTTATTCATGTTTTTTGCTTCAGTCTTCAAGGCCAAGTCACAGAAGAGCAAACTGCATCAAAGTATTTGTTGTTAGTAGAATCCAAGTGTGACTGAAATGCATGCTGCTTCTAGGCTTCCTTTCAGTTTGTGAGTTTGTAAAAGCAGAATCCTTTAACTTTCTCTAACTAAACACACTAGAAAAAAAATTAAGCAGAAAAGAGCAAAAAATAAGAACATTTTTTATCTACATTTAGAACAAGATCAAAAATTTTCTGGTGCCTATTTTCTCACTGCAGAATAGGCATTATTACCAAAATGAGCTTATTTATAAAGAAATCATAAATTAAATTTATTTTTCTAGAGGCTAATTGTTCAGTTTAATCAATAAATATTAAGCAACTACAATGTAAAGGAAGCTACTTTGCTACGTGCTGGAGATAAAAAGTCAGCAACAAAAATAGTTCCTTCCCTCAACAGGCTTATTATATTCTGCTCTAAAGGATTTATTCTTCTATTTTGCAATCTAAAAGGTCTGCAAGTAGTATGATGAATAGTGAATTGAGAATGAGGGAAAGAGCACTAAGGGAGAGAGGGAGGAGCTGTGATTCATGGAAGGCTTCACAGATTAGGGGCCACCTAAACTAAGCCTTGAAAGAAGACCAGGATTCTGAGTGGTGGAGATGAGGAAGTAGTGCATTCCAGGCATGGAGATGGTTTGTGCAAACACACAGAGGCTGGAGATGAAACATCTAGTTCCAGGAACTAGTAGTAGCACCCTACTACTTTTAACTGGGTCTAGTGTGAGATAAGGTTGGAAAGGTGGTCAGCACCCTGATTGTATGAGGACTTCATTGTCAGAGAAGGAATTTATATTTTATCCTCATGGCAATGTGGAGTCACTGGAGGTTTTTTGAGCAAGTCAGCAGGTGACATGATCAGACCTTTGCCTTAAGATTATTTTGGCAGCATATGGAAAATGGAGTGAACAGAGAAGAGACTGGAAGCAGGGAGACCAATTTAGAGACTCTTATGGCATTGTAGGGGGAGGTAGTGAAGGCCTGAACATTTCATATGGTAGCCACATGAATGGAGAGAAATAGATGAATGGAATAGATGTTTTAGAGTAAAAGCCAAAAGGCTAGACATCTGATTGGAAATGAGGTCTGAGAGAGAGGGAAGAGTGTCAGAGATGAACTTGGGTGACCAAGAGGTGCTTCCTCTATGTGGAAATAGGGAAGTTTGAAGGAGGAAAGGAACTTAAAGGGGAAGATGAGTTCTGTTCTGGTCATGTTGAGTTTGAGGTGTGCATTAGGTGCTTGATAGTGCAAATATATATAGATATAAGCCATCTGTATAGAAAGCATGCATTGAATCCAGGCAGCAGATTTCAGAAAAGTATGAAGAGAAAGAAGAAAAGAGGGCCCAGGAGCCTTGGAAAGAAGGCAGCTGTGCTAAGGGAAGGGAGGAAAGTGTTAACAGGATTTTACTGAGCCAGTCTTTAACCTGAGAATGAGAAAACAACAGGCCAGAGACAAAGTGCCAGCAATCCGGTAGCCATTTCATTAATTAGTTTCATTATGAGGGACAGATTTGCAAATCAAGAATTCTCCTGATCAGAATTCCACCTTGCTGAAGTGAAGACAGAAATTATATACATACATCACCAGTGAGAAGGGAGTGGGGGAGGTGGCTTATTCCCAGAGCCAGAGTGTTTTCCCATGACAAATCCACAAATGGAAAACAATACAATTATGGAGCCCTGTGGGAGCAATATCACTCGAGTGCTTGGGGGTCATACTTGGTGGGTCATGGGACCAGAGTTCTGTGACGGGAACAGGTTCTACAGCCTTTGATTTGCTTCACTTCAGGTACATAGACCGTGTTCGTGAGCCTTGTCAAAGTTTGATTGGTCATTTTAAGCGGCATTGTAAATCTGACTCACAAGAGAGGCAATTCTGAAAAATCTAATTTATTAGTATATTCATTACACATATATCAATTATGATAAAAATCATAATTCCCTCCACATCCCCTCCTTTGGGCCAAAAAGGTCAGAACAACCCTTGGAGGCGAATAAGGAACATTCATTTGAAACATGATTTTGAATTTTATGTAAAAATAAGCAAGTTACAAGTTTAATGCCAAGGTAGGTGGCAAAGCAAATAAAGAAGAAATATCAGACCAGGGAGGGCAGAATGGAGAATGCTGCCAAGGTTTTTAGGCAAGCAGGAATGTAGATCAAAGGATGAGAGAGAAACATGCTTTAGAATGTTTTGACCCCATCCCATAAATCTTCCAATTGTTTGTTTAGAGCATTAAGGTCTTCCTCTGTTGGAGAGGATGGGTTGACATAGAAACAACATTCCTCCTCAGTGATGGCACAGGCCTCCCCCTCTCAGCCGTTAGGGCATCCAGCACCCTGAGGTTTTGCAATACCTTGAGGGCAAGTGAATCAACCTGAGTTTGGAGGCTGGTGACAAACCTCCCTGTGCACTCCAGGCTAGTTCTGTCAAGAGGTTCCCCACAGACAGATACAGCGTGCTGAAGGTGGCTTCAGTACCAGTTAGGGATCCAGTGGATGCCAACAGGGCCACAGTGGGAAGGAAAACAAGCTTTCACTGTTGATGGAGGGACTACTTTAACCAGAGAGGAACTTCAGCGGAGTGGTTCCCTGGGAATAGGGACAAATTGCGCATGGTGTAGACAGGTGGAGCTGCATAAGAATGGTCTTGTGGAAAGGGGCAATTCATTGGCAAAGGTACGGGTATCAAAGGGTGAATGCAGGCAGAGTGAGTGAGACTCATGGAGTTCAGTGCCTCCAGACATGGGTTATGGAACTTCTAGCACGGTTATGGAACAAGAAGCCTTTCTGGGATTCCCACTACTTCCATGATTTTCAACCATAAAATTATCCTCTCTGTATTCTATCCTTTCTCAATCTCTCTTTGCCTGTCTATTCCTGACACCTATTCTTTTTTCTCACCAAAACTTCCAGAACCTCCAACCCTCTCTGTTGACCTAGTGACAGAATGTCAGAATTGGCAGGGCCTTCAGAGGCCTTCTTGTCTGTCTCAGCGATGAATACACAGCTCCATAATATCCTCATCCCTAACCTGTCATCCCTGCTCTGGCTTCACTTTCCTCTCTTTACAACCTTGACCTTAATCATTATATACACTGTCCTCCACCCTGGACTCCCTTGCCCTTTACCCTATCAATCCTCATGCCTGGATCATCCCATCTGCCTTTTCCCAAGCTGATAAACATGTGTGGATAAACAAAGTCACATCACTTTGCCACCTACTTTCACTACTAATAATAGGCCCTCACTACTAAATAGGCCCAGGTTATTTGATGCTCTACTCTCAGGGCTGATTTAAACCTTCTCTTTTCACCTGAAACTCCCAATGCCACTCCACACACCACTTTCTTCCAACAAATGTCTTTCCTTTCTACTTTACTGGGACAAATACAAATCATCAAAAATAATACACTCCTGAATATCCTCTATTCTACGTCTCAGAATCCCTTCCCACATTAATCCAGAAGTTAAACAGATGCTTTTACAGTTGCCTTTGTTGTGGGTGAAGAGGTATATGTAATCCCCTCCCCCTAGTCCATTTGCTACTAGGGTCTTTTGCAGTGTTATGAGATGCCCCAATCCTATTCAGGGAAATCTATGGCCGAAGAAGCTGGTCAGAGGAATCAAGTGAGGCATTAGGAAAGCAACCCATGTGGAATTCAGAATAAAGGTGAAATTACATTGCATGGAATTTAACGATCCAAGGTGGGGGCCCATGTTGCCTCTTATGCCCTGGCTGCAGAGTGGAACCTGTGTCTCTATAGAGACCCATGAGTGTAATGGACCCTGTAGGTAAGGGTCTGATATTCTACGGACCCTAAAACCTGCCGTTAAGTCCATTAATTCTCAGCTAAAGTGCTACCTGTTACGGGCAGCACCTGTTATGACCCCCGAATCAAATACTTTTTGATAAAAGCAAAACTTTT